CCCCCACACTCTCTTCAGAGAAAGAAGATGAAGCTGTGGCTGTCTGTGGCTATGGCAGTCTGCGACCGTGGTGGTCTGCGACCGTGTCTGTAAGCTCATGGAGCAGCTTTGCAGTACACAGGCCTTTGAGGCCACCTGGGGGGTGGGAAGAAGAGGATCTGGGCCAGCTAGGTCCCAGACACGGCCTTACACTGGGTCTTTACTGAGCCCATGGAGGACTATCTGCATCCAAAGGTCCAGAGCTCCTCCCTGTGCCCACCACACCCCTGCCTTCCCTGGTGAAGGAGGAACAGGCCTAACAAAGACGAAAGAAATGGATAAAGGAAGGCCAGAGACAGGAAAAATGGATTTCCGAAAGCATTGTGCTAAATGAAAGAAGCCAGACACAAAATGTCCAGGATCAGAAAACCTACATAGACAGCGTAGACTCCCTCGAGTTGGAGGATGTGGGAATGGGCTGTGGGGGTTGGGAGGTGACAACTAAAGGGAATAGAGTTTGTGGGGAAGATGAGCTCTCCAAGATTGCCTAGACCGTGGCTACACTCTTCTGTGAAGGTTCTAGAAACCACTGGTGTACGCCCTTTAGATGAGTGGGTTGACCATGTCTGGAGTGGCAGAAAAAGAGGAAGAGAAGAAGATGAAACGTAGGGGCGGGTGGAGGCGAAGTTCACTTGCCTGCCGTGTGCCAGGGACGCTAAGGGGCTGCGCCTTGAAAAGACAGTGAGAGCTGCCACCACTCTATAGACTGGAGAGTGGGCCTCAGACTGCCGTGTGTCACTGCAAGTGGAGTCACCGTGACTCATACCGAGTCTACCCAACTTCCAGGCAGCTGACATCAGAGCAGAGAGGGTGACCTGTCCTACACAGGGCGGCCAACAGGACCCCAGAGGCAGGGGCTGCCGCTAGCCTTTAATACGTGTGGGGGGGGGAGTGGTTAAGCAATGCTGAAATCAATGTGCCAAAAACCTAGGCCATGTCGGAGAGTCAGATAATGGAAATTTGGACTCTCGAAGCAGTCAGCAAGTTTAGGGTCGTGCACAAAACTCCCTTCTTAGTCACAGCTCCTCTGGGGAAGTGTGTCTGTCAAACACAAAGTTCTGGCATGTCCATGACATTGCAGACTTATCTCCAGAGAACGAACTCACAGGAAGTATCCTCCCCCCACCCGCACAGTAAGGCCATGCTGTGGTGAAGTGTCTGTGGGTGGCTATCCTGCCCAGAGACACTTTTCTGCTGTTGTCATGTGCCTTCACTCTTCCAGACTCATCTGTGGTAACTGGTGGGTGTGGGTGGGTCCGGGAAGACTTTCTTCTTGAGGCTTTGTGACTCAAGATGGTCCTGGTATTGCTGTGAGATCTGCCCTTGGCATCAAGGCTTGGAGGAGGGTCTGCTGTGACTTCATGTATAGGCAGAGGGAATAAGCTCGCTCTGAGCTTTTCTAGGCTCCCAAACTTCCCTCTTTGAGGCTTGTTTTCCTGATGTCTGCAGCAGGGTGACGTTAATCACTTCTTAGGGATCTCATAAACCTAGGACAAGAATTTATTTGGACGTTCGCCAGCTGCCAGGCACAGGGCTGGCTGTCAGGGTTCCAACAGTGAATTAACATGGGCACGGTCTGGTCTCCAGGAGCTTCTGGGTAGGGGAGCAAAGGCAACACCAGTTGAAGGTGGGACAATGTCTTGTAGTCTGGGAGGTGCCAACTGTGTGCATGAAAGGAGAGTAGGGTGATCCTAGGCTCCAAGTAGTACGGAGTCTTGATGGCTGGGTCGGCTTTGACTTTCATTCCAAAAGCAACAAAAGGGTTGGACCATAATCAAGCCATTTTTAGAAAGGTCTTGTGTGGCTCTGGAGGGAAGAAATGTAGACTCAGATTGGAGGCAACTTTGGCTCCTTGGAGAGAGGAGAGTTGGAAGGTGAAGGAGAAGGTACCTGGCTGGTACTGCAGCCCTTGAGGCACCTGGTCATTGTCGAGCCAGGGACAGAAACACGGGGCCTGTGCTTGAATGAGGAATGGCACACTCAGAGGTGTTGATAGGCTAGGTGCCCGCGGGTCTTATCTCCCAAGAAATTATGGGGACAAGTGAGTAGGGGACTAAGACCCAAAGGGTTCTACGTCCCTGCCTGCTCTGCACTTCAGGTGGGTCAAAGCCATCCGGTGCCTTGGCTTCCCCTTCTGGTGTCTACAGGACTGTGTCTGAGGCATTTGTCATAAGCAGAGTCAAGATCAAGTCCAGGTGTTTTTTGGTTGACAGAGGCCAGGCTTGGAGGGCAGACAGGCATGGATGGGAATCTTAGTTCTACCACATCTGAAAGAGTGGTGACCTGACGTCAGCCAGTTTGTCTCTGGGTAGCTGCTAGTGGTGCAGGGCCGCACTCTGAGAAGTACTGCTCATGAGAATGGAGTCTGCGCTCTGCTCACTGCTATGTGCCGACTGTGGTAAACACTTGGTAGGTCACACTTCTAGAGACAGAATTAGGCAGGTGTAGTGCTCCCGCAATAGGTCTGAGGAAGGGGCAGACAGAGCCTCAGGCTAGGAGCTGGCTGCCCAGGCACAGAGAAGGTAGGAGCAGCTGGCTTGACTAACCTGAGGTCTCCACCCTGTTCACTCAGGAGAGTCTGGGTCAGTCCCCTCAGGTTTCTTGGCAGAGTCAAAGACTCTAGGTAAGTTCCATTCTTGCCCTCAGACAGAGAGCAGAAAGGACAAACTGTTGGTCAGCAGGAAAACTGGGAGCTGACCTCACTGAGGGACGCATCAGGTCACAACCACCTGGGCAGCTCAGAGAGAAGACTGGCTGTTTTTAGTCTCCTGTAATCCTAAAGTGTGTGGGCTCCTCGGACCCTCCCCCTGGCCCACCAAGCCCATCTGCCCACCGTTCCCAGAGGCTGAGAGACCATGATCTCTCTAGGATTTGAGCTCTGGCCCTACTCTGTCGCTGCTATGAGTTAGCCGGACAAGCACCATCTTTCAGCCGGCCTTGGCTTTCCTCAGCTAGTACCCAGGGCGACTCAGGGGGCGGAAGAAAATGTGGACATCCAGACCCTGCCTGGAGAATCCGCAGTAGTGGAGCTGCTAGGGCCTCCTTAGCCGGTGTTACTTGGGGGAATGGACAGGACTCCGAGTCTCGGTGGCCTGTCTATGAAGTGGAGATTAGGAGCTGCTGAGCCGCTTAGAGAGAGTGCTACTCTTGCAGAAAACCTGGTTTGGTTCCCAACATCCGTGTCAGGTGGCTCACAACCGTCTATAACTAGTTCCAGAGGATCGGACACCCTCTTTGGGCCTCTGCAGATAGCAAACGGAGGGAGCCTGGTGTGACTTAGCCATGTCTGCCAAGCGTGTACCAAATGAACGTTTAAGAACTAGGTTCTTATGAGCAGGGATGATGGACACAAAGTAATACACAAACCAAACAGTGCCCGTTTTCTTCTGTGTAGTCCATAACCCAGTGTCTTTACTTCTCCTCCACTATGAACTAAATCAGCTTTGTGGCCTCCTGAGGGAGAGAGGTAGAATTATGTGACTGAGGGGCAGGAAGTCTCCAGGTGCAGGGTTACCCTGGGCTGGCTTGCAGGATGGACTTGAGAGGGGGAGTCGGGAGGCCCGGATGATAGGGTTAACATTGTAGCAAGAGTTCAGGAGCTGGAGCAATGAGGTTTTCAATGAGGGAGAGCAGGGAGGGACAGGTGTGACGTCTATGGAGGACCCTCCACACCTAGGAGGAAGTGGCGTCAGTGAGGACAGAAGAGATGAAGGCCAGGGATCTAATGAGGCTACGCTGCCCTTACAACTGCCCCTCAGAACTCAGAATCCATCACAAAGGATCGCAAGTGAATGAATGAAAGAGTGAATGAATGAATGGATCTGTTCCACAGATCAGCGCTGTAGTGGCAAAGGCATGGTCTCAGTGAAGAGAAACAAAAGTCACATTAATTGAGCAACTCATCTGTCACGTATTTTTCGTGCCTTTGTTCATGACTCAAGCAGGGAGCTCAGCTCATCCCAGGACAGCACCACAGGGCTCTGCACACAGGGAGCTCAGCTCATCCCAGGACAGCGCCACGGGGCTCTGCACACAGGGAGCTCAGCTCATCCCAGGACAGCGCCACGGGGCTCTGCACACAGGGAGCTTGCCTCCCAGGACAACACCACAGGTTCCCTCAACACCTTGCAGTGACTTTATCCTGGGCGAGTTTACTGAAATCTCACTTTGATTCTGTTTCTCTTCCCAGCTTGGACACCGCTCAGAGGTGGAATCTTGTCATTGTCCCCGTGCCCAGTCCCCACTGTTACTTGCACTTGGTATACCCAGTGTTCTTCTGCAGGCTTTTTGTTTTTAAGTTTTTTAAGATTTTGCTGTCCCTCCCCTGCCTACCCCGCCTACCCCCAACACATGGGTCAATGCAACTTCCTTCTTCACATCAACAGGCTAAATTACCTGGCCCACATCAAAGGCGCCATGGCAACCTTCCATCCAAGGCCCAGGTTAGCAGATCTGGGCTTGCCCTAAGCTCCCCCTTCCCCCGTCTGTCTTTCCCCAGGCTCCACACACAAGGCCCACACGTTTGTTTCCACTGAGGCCCAGCTTCCGCCCTCTGCCGTTTTCCTTCCATACTAACTTGAACACCCCGCAAGGAAGAGCTGATTTACAGGTGGCTTTTGAGCGTCCCTCTGAGGGTATAACTTGTCACTCATAACTCCTAAGTGGCAGAGCTGGTCCTTACACTTAGGCCACCATAGGGGAAAGGCCATTTAGTTAGAAAGAAGGGCCTCTGAGTTCTGGGATGAGCAGCACTTTGTCCAGGTCCCAGCTCAGTGGCCCCTGGTAAGTAAGATCTGTTACCGTTAGTATGGCCTTTTAAAAACAAAGGCAAATATTCTACCCAAGAGAGCCATTGGCGGATGACAGATGATTTCTATAAAATGCTCATGCAATGATCTCAGCACCACCCACACACAGGGGTGGGGGAGTCTCCGGCACCCCCAACCCATACAAATGCTTACCTGTCTGGGGTCCCTTGGGGGCGTGTGGTTTCTGTCCCACTCCACACTTGGAGCTTCAGGGGCTTCTCCTCCTGCCACCTGCCTTCTCGGCTTTGGCCCCTGGACAGCAGAGAATTGTTCAGCCTCAGGGACGTCCTGTGGGAGTTGTGGCTGGCAAGCTTACAGCGGAAGAGCTGTTGGTAAGCCATGCGGAAGTCTCTGTTGAGGGCGGCGTACAGGATAGGGTTCAGGGCTGAGTTGGCATAGCCTAGCCATAGGACAATGCCTTCAACCGCCTCGTTGATGGCGTCGTCCCCTCTCAGCCCACGATAGACGAACGCAGTAAAGTAGGGAAACCAGCAGACGATGAAGGCCCCCATGACCGCAGCCAGCGTCACGGTGGCTTTGTGCTCTCGGATGGTGGCTGCCTTCCAGGAGCTGATGTGGTTGATCCTCTTGGCCTGCTCCCTGGCGATCTTAAAGATTCGGTAGTAGGTGACACACATGATGAGAAGAGGCAGGTAGAAGGTGACCAGCCCGTCCACCAGCCCGTAGACCTCATTAACCTGCACTTTGCACTTGAAGGTGTCGTTGTCCCCTCTGGTCTCGTTTCTGCTGTTCCACCCCAGGTGAATAGACAGGAAAGACAGGGTGATGGAAATGACCCAAATAAAGACCAAGGAAATGGCCACTCGAACCGGGGTGACCAGCACAGGGTACCTCAATGGGTCTGTGACTGCGCAGTAGCGGTCCAAGCTGATCATGAAGAGGTTGAGGATGGAGGCTGTGCAGAGCATCACATCCAGGCTGGTGTAGATGTTGCAGAAGACCTGGCCAAAGCTCCACCTGAAGGAGAGCTGGTAAATGGCAGAGAAGGGCAGCACCAGGAGGCCAAGGAGTAGGTCGGTCGCTGCCAAAGACACAATAAAGCAATTGGTCAGACTGCGGAGCCGACGGTTCAAGCTGACAGCCAGGCAGACGACCACGTTGCCAGCAACGGTGATGAGGATGAGGGTGGTGAGGATCAAACTGATGGTGACCTTCAGTACAGTAGAGCCTAAGCAGCAAGAATGAATCGTGCCGTTGGGCTCCATTCTGGGGCCCTGTAGCTTCTACACTCAACCCTTGGCCTTGGCCGCTTCTCTTCCAGCTCCAACCACCGGGCTTCAGGCTCTCTCCCACCAAGCCAAAGGGGGGTTGGGGAAGGTCTGATGACTGGCCTAATGCTGTTGTAGTAATAGATCAAGCTGTTCCTTGTGAAGTGCAGGACATGTGAGAATACAGTAAGACTAGAGCTTTCACAGCTCAGACCGCAGTCCTCAGCTGGTCTTCCAAGTCACGTTCCTTCCTGGTCTGTAGTGTGCGTCTACTTTCTAGGTTCCTCATGGAGATCGAGGCACTGGTGGCTGTGTCTTGAGGTGGGTTGGGTTTGTGCAAGGGATCATACACGTAGGCTGTCATGTCCTTCTCCATGGCTAGTGCCTGCTTCCATCCATGGTATAAGGTCAAGGACTATTAGCTGCGCTCTCTGGAGTCACAGGAGCTGAAAATGCAAAGATTGAGTGTTCAGCACTTCATAATTAGACCAACAGCATGGCCTGTTCCAAGGTAAGTCTTTCTAGACTTCTATCACCTGGTGAGAAACTAGGAGGCATGGGGACTCTTCTAGGTGTCCTTCCTTGGGGAAGACCAGGATGGTCAGGGCACGCGATGGGATGGCAAAGGGTACCATGATGTAAAGTTTAGAATACCATGAGGATAATAAATGGAAGGGTGGGGGTGGGGTCTAGGATAGCACTGCTTTCATTTGCTCCCAGCTGCTAGCATTTGCTATCTGCTGATTAGTGATGGATTGCCTGGGCGGATAAAGGAATGCATTATTAAGTGTGGGGAGCACTCTAAACTGGGGACTGGAAACTTTTTCAGAGAAAGAACCAGGCAGCCTGTTTCCCTTTCTTTGCAGTCTGCAGGGTGTCTGCTGAACTGACAACTCTGTCGCTGTAGCATAAAAGCAGCCACGTAGGACCATGTGCAAAAGTGCATGGGCTGTGCTCCAGTCAAGCTTTGTGACGGACAAGGAACTGTAATGAGAAATCCACAGGCGTCTGTTTAAGGGGCACCAAGGATTTGTTAAGATATAAATGGGAGAAAATACACTCACAAATACAGAATATGGTAAGTCCAGTCCCAGAGTCCTTAGAAAGCAGGAGACCGATCACACACTGCTTCACATTACCTGACCTGGTCTTCACCACCCAAGAGAGTGAACGACCCCCCTCCCACCTTCCTTATAAGAGCGTCTTGTAGGCAGACAAGAGGCACCACCTCCATCAGGCCAGATAGCCCAAGGTCATGGGCAGAGCGAATACCCATTACACTTCCCCTTTTTGTCTAAACAAGAAGGTTCTAAACCTAATACAAAACTATATACAATAAGAATGATTATCAAGTATTGTCCAGGAGAAAGAAGGGGTACTAACATAAACAAAAATGTAACGACAACAAGGACAACATCAAGTAAGAAACACACACTAAATGTCCAGATCACAGGTTAAAAGGCAAATCACAGAGATTACTCCCATAGCTGTCCTATCCCGAAGAATCTGAATCTAGTACCTGATACGCTAGTCAAGATGTGAGAGGACAGTGTCCTTACCATTGGTTAATAAAGAAGTTGATTTGGCCAATGACCAGGCAGAATAGGGACAGGCAGGAAATCCAGAGATGTGGAGAGAAAGGAGGAGGAGGAGTCAGGGACACGCCATGTAGTCACTGAAAGGACAAGATGCCAGACCATCACTGGTAAGCCACGGCCACGTGTTGACACACGCAGATTAGTAAAAAATGGGTTAATTTAATTGTGAGAGCTAGTCAGTAATATGCCAGAGCCACTGGTCAAACAATTGTAATTAACATTAGGCCTCTGAGTGTCTGTTCGGGAACTGGTGGGCGGGAGAGAAACCTCCAGCTACAAGGAACTGCGAGTTTCGTATTGCTTTCATCCAATGATTCCAAAGCGTCCTTGTCTTCTGTGCAAAACCAGGCAGAGGCTTAGACTTAGTGTGATCTGCTGTCTCCATAATCTGTCAACTCCATCCTTGCTCAGTGCTCAACACCCATGCCCAGGTCTGACTGCTTTGTGTTAAACACACTTACACTTCCAGGTCAGCTGGTGCACAGATCACTCCATCCTAAAGGCTCTGTAAAAGTCTATGGTGTGGCTGGAAGTGAGTGGTTTTTCTACCACTCTATCACCTCCTCAGGCGTTTCAGTGATTTCCCCCCCCTCCAATCCCCTCTCCCTTCTCCTCCATCCCTCCCCCTTTCTTCCTTCCTTTTCTTCTCCCTTCCCTCCTACAAATACCACTCAATCAATAACTGTATGCACAATGTCCAGGTACCAGATCACCTCCACAAGTCCCTTCCAGTGATGGCAGCCTGTGTCTCCAGGGTGGTTCTTGTTTCATGGTCCCTTTAACACAAGCCCCTCCTGATTTTTCTGAGGGAAGCCAGCGGGCTCTCTTGAGGTCTGAGGCTGTGAAATCTAAATGACAGCAGAACCTTCTTAGAAGCAAGCGCTGCATTGCCGAGGGACATAAATCTGGTCTCTCTGATGCTCTTGCCAGGAGCTGCTGTGCAATCTGAATACAGATGCAACATCTGAGTGTGATGACTGTGCTGGGGCAGGGATCAGGGTTCCAGGCCCAGCTGCTGCTCCGGCTGCCTCAACCTCTCAACCCTGGGAGCTGAGCCTCTGGGGATTATTTCTGGGGGAGTTTTTCATTACATGGAGAGCTCAGACAGTGCAGGTCTTACCACCACACTTAATTAACTTTGGAGGGGTAGCAATAAGGATAGACATTTTTTTAGCCTCCCTATTTCTGATAATAATTTCCTCTTCATTTCCTTGACAGCTGACTGTAGGCATTTTGGCATTGGGCTGGTATTCAAGTTAATGTTTGTGAGAGTCTTCAAATCTGAGTGAGACAGCTCTCAATATAATTAGAAATCCTCTTCCTCCCTTCCTCTCTCCCTCCCTCTTTCCTTCTCTCCCTCCTGTTTTCTTCAACGATCACTTCTCTGGGGACTTTGGGAGTGCTGCAGTGTTTTGGGTACCGGGGATGATTCTTTCTTTGTGAGTCTTCCCAGGATCCACTTCACTGTCTTCCTGTTCAGTGAGAGGCTTCCCGGAGTTTCCAGTGAGCACTCTAAAGGCAGGGGAGTTTGTGCTGGGTTAATCCCACCCCACCCCATGCCCTGCGAGCAGAATGAATGGCCCATCCTAAAGGACCACATCATCTACTCGTGGGTTAGCTTCCAGTAGGTTCTTTGCCCACAGAATCCTCCTTGTCATCCCAGCTGCTGATGTGAGAGACGCTCTCCTAAACCTTCAAACTGCCCATGTGCTTAGTGCTCACTGCAGTAAGCCAGCATCCTGGAAGCATCCAGGAGCAACGCTCTCAGCTGCCACACAGCCTAGCCCGCACACCCAGGACGTAACTGCTGTGACATTTGGTTTGGGGGGGTCTTCCCCAGTTCCCCTGGCCTTCATATGTGCATATAGGCAGGATGCAGCTCACACACATACACTTCACTCTATAACCTCCTTTCTTTTTATTTCTTTAAAAATTTCCAATTTATAACAAGTGTCCCTTCAGAGCACTTAAGACTTAACCAATTCTTTTGCTTGTTACCCAGCCTGAGGCCACATAACCGCAGATGCATGGTCAATGATATCCGTGTCGGCAGGCTTGTGAGTGGCAAAAATATGGGGACAACCTGAGTTTCCACAACGAAGAGGGTGGATAGATCCATAAACCACAGTGGATCTTCCCTGGGCAACAGGCCTGGCCTGTGTGATGTTGCTCATAGCAGATAAAACACCATCGAATCCTACGAACAGCTCTAGGAATGAGAGAGATTGTCTCCATTTAGCTTTGAGGAGTGTGTGGGCAAAGAACAGAGTGATATCACTCCTCTGATAACTGGCAGAGCCTGGATTCAAGTCCAGTGCTCCAAAGGCCCACACGTCAAAGTCTCGGCCGCCAGCCTAGACCTAGAGGTGGCGGAAGTTTTAGAAGGTGGGGCCTGTAGGGAGGAAGTCAGGTAATTAGGATAAGCTGATGAAGGCTCGAAGGTGTTATGGGGGCCTTGACCCCTTCCTGTTTGCGTTTTTGCTTCTTGGCTGCCATGAGGTGAAGCTTTCCGTCATGCGCTTCCCGCCATAATGTGCTATGCTGTCACAAGCCCAAAGTCATGGGGTGAAGAGACTATGGGCATAAACCTCTGGAGTTACGAGCCCCAGTAAACCTTATTTCCCTGTGTATCTCAGGCATTTTGTCATAGTGTGGGAAGCTGGTTAACATACACAGTTCAAGTTCCTTTGACTTTCCCTTAGTGCTCATTCTTTGATTAGATTTCAACTGGCCTTGCCAATGAGATCTCTCCATCCATCCATCCATCCATCCATCCATCCATCCATCCATCCATCCATCCACCCACCTACCCATCTGTCTGTTCCCATTGCTCATCTAAAGGGAGAAGTGTGTACAGTGGTTACATGTTGTTTCCCACCTTAATGCTCATCTTTGGGGCTCATGGGCCCGATGACTGTGTCTGGATGGACAGGTGAGAATACGTTTATTTTTTTGTTGTTGTTGTTGAATATTCCCAAGCAGCTGTGCAACATTGAAAAAACAATAGGCATGACATCTTGTTTATCTTTGATACGAGTTCAAGCAGTCTGATTCTACCTCTCTCTGTGTGTGAGAAAGATGTGCTGTTCACTCAGACATTTCCTTTGTCATCTCGCAGGTTGCCCACAGATATCTCAGTTGTGTGTTTATATATTTCCTTTCAGTGACTCCTCATAACTGCCTTAACACATGTGAAAGAGGTGCTTCCCGAATTCACTCATGCAGAGCCACGCCCCCAACACACAGGCACAGAGGGAAGCTTCCGACTTTACCTCCCCGGTCCCCAGCCACTGTCATCTTGTTAGCAAACTCACTGTGTGCCTCTCATCCCAGGTGGCCTCCGGAGGCAGCGCCCAGAAGCAACCATGGGCTGGGACCTCCGAGTATCTCTTGGGTATCTGTTACAGCCACTCAGCCACGCTGGCCTGTGTGTGGGGAGGTCTTCTCTGGTCAGTTCCCACGACCTGCCTTTGCCAGGCTCTTGTCAGCTCCTCCCAGCACTCTGAGGAGTGCAGCTGTGGCAGGGTCCACGTTTTCATGCTTCTGGAAAGTGCCGGGGCCATTCTGACCCTGCGCCTCTGAATGTGCCGTTCTCACTGCCCGGTGGGCCCTCCGGCCCTTTCTCGTCCAGTGTGTTCTTACTTTCCTTCCAAGACCTGACCTCCTGTCACCTCCTGGCCCCTGGAGGTAGTTTCTTTCCGTCGTCCAAACCCCTCATTTACTTACCTGCCTCTGGTTAGTGCTTTCTGTTCAGAGTTCTGAGTTTTCAGGGCCTCGTGAGAACTTCCCTCCTTGGGAGGTCTGGTGGAACTCACTGTCTGAACTGTCTCCTCAAAAATGGAATTGGGGTGATGTCTGGAGCACCATTTCATTATGTCTGGAGACTTGAAGGGTGTGGGGGAAATCTAGGTTGGTCTGATGCTCCGACACCCACCTCACTGCTACCAACCCAGGAGAGACGCCGGAGGGGACAATGACTAGGAATGCAGATGGGCTGGGGGGCAGGCTGGACCAGTTCCACTGGATGAAGCTGCCTCAGTGCTTTGCCTCTGTGGCAAGCAGAGTTTTTCCTTCTGTGAAACACGTGCTTTCACCACCAGCATGGCCATGTGGGAAGCCAGACTTGGCGCACAGGCAGTCAGAGATTGGGGGACGGGGTCAGTTAAGGCTCAGTGGTGCTTGTTTCCACACCAACTTACGGGAGGAAAGGAACATGGCGTTCACTGGGCGTCCTTCCTGAGGTGTAAGCGGTCTGCTCCTCATTCTAGGAAAGCGCTGTGGGAAGCAGAGGCATGCAGAAGTGACAGGAAGGACCCTGACACTGACGGATGTGAGTTCTAATTCAGACCTGGCCTCTTTAGCGTGACAAAGGTGTCCCAGAATGACAGTATTTCCTTCTCCACTTGGTGGCTATGAAGATGATGAGCTTAAAGGAGCCGAAACCCTTAGAGCCCCCACCTGCCAAATGTGTTAGGGCCCAGCAGCCGCACATGCTCCGAACATTTCCTGAGAACTCCTGAGGTGCAGACCCTGTCCTGGGGTCTTGGGGCAGAGCAGCAAGCCCCGCAGACGTGGAGTCCAGGCTATGGGGAAGGGGTGAATTGTAGAAGCCGTAGTAAATTTGCTTGTTTAACTGCAGTTGTAGCAACTTCTCTTCAGAGAGGTGGAGAGAGCCAAGGGAGATGGAAACATAACATCGCAAATGGAGAGCAAGCAGACCCCACGTGGAGAGCGGACGCGCCCCTCCCCCAGAGAGCTTGGGGTGGGAGATGGCGTCCTTTAACCTAGGATGCACGGGAAGCTTCTAGCAGGGGACAGGGACAGTGAGTAAGGATGCTTCTTCCTAGAGGACTCCTGGGCCTTGTTTCCCTGCCACCCAGCAAGTCTGCATGAGCAGGCACTGATGAATGTCCCTAGCCGTCACTGTAGGTGATCAGACACTGATGTCACTGGGTCTCCAGAGGGCAGCGTCCCGTGTACCTGGGGTGGGGAGGGCTAGAAGCACCCCAGAGCCAACTCCTAAGAAGTATCCTGGAATAGACGCCCAAGCAGGTAGCTATTCAAGCACCGTGGTTTTCATTTGTTACGGAAGAACGGAACCTCCCACAGCAGCCACCTCA